TCCATAAACACCCAAATTACCAAAATACCCTCATAAGTCAAACTGGTCAACCCTTGGTCAAAGTTAAAGTTAATGGTCAAGGTCAACAGTCCATGTTGACCTAACTCGTCGAGTGCAGCTTACTAACTCGTCGAGTTCCTTCAAAACTCAACTAATCGTGAAAATCCCAGTTGACTCGCCGAGCTTCCAGACAACTCGTCGAGTCTATACAGTGTCAAACTTGTCGGGAAAACCTAACCAACTCATCGAGTCACCTTTCTAACTCGTCGAGTTCATGCAGAATCCAGAAAGTGGGAAACCCTCATCCGACTCATCGAGTGGACTATGCAACTCGCTGAGTTCCTTCAGTCATTTTCTCATTTAGACGTTTCTAATCGAAACCAAGGCTCCAAACTGGAGATCTAGCTTCCTAGAGTATAGTTTCCACGTAAAGTTGTAAACTTTACGTGCATACAAAGTCTAAAATGCCAAAACCAAGCTAAGGAAGAGGTTTTAGGGTAAGGAGAAGGCTAAATCTTGACAAATTCGATAACTTTATGACTAAGAGGGCTTAAAGGAGTCCAGATCTGAACTCCCCATTCCAAAATGCGCTTAATACCGGAAAAGCCTCAAGATTAAGTTAGAAATGGCCTAAAACTATAGGATGAATATATCTACTAAGAGAATGGACAAGAAAATGACTTTTTACCTTCGGGGTGTTACAGCAAGTGTTGCGCGTGTGCTGCACCACGCAGCAAAAAATTATTTGTATAGGTTTTTTTTTAAAAAGAATAAACAACCTTAAGATGATTAAAATTTTAGAATATATCTATTTTTATGGCAATTAAATTATTTAAATCACAATATTTTATTTTAGAGAATCCCGCTAGATTTTTTTAATGTCAAAAAGTTTTGTGATACAACAGATAGTTATATCATACCTCTCTTAACAAATGTAATTATCTCTTTAATATTTATTCAATTTTATGTGAATTTGTATCATCAAATTGCTTGGTGTATCTCTCCATATAAATGGTAGGTGTTTATTTGACATTTTATGTTAGTGAAAGATACTTATATAATAACATCTTTAAAAAAAACCCCAAAAAACTTAAATAAACCCCAACATCACTTCAATATCTTCAAACTTTTTAATCAGTATTTTTTTTCTTTATTTTAATAAAATTAGGATGCTAATATATATATATATATATATATATATATATATATATATATATATATATATATATATTATATATATATATATATATATATCCTCCCATTTATATAAATTGTCATATCATAAAAAATAAACAAGTACTATTCCACTCACAAAGAAACTAAACATTTTTAGGCGGTACGTATAGAAATTTCCTTGTATAATTATCACCAAAAAGGTTTGTGCCTCATTAAAGATATTCATAAGTATGTATAGAATTTCCTTGTATAATCATCATCAAAAGGTTTGTGCCTTGTTAAAGATTTTCATATTTTTTGAATTAATCTGACATAATACTCACCTTTTTAAGATTTTCATGGATAATTAGTGCATAACTTGGAATAATCAGTAGAGCTAAGATGTATGGAGGGGGTAAGCCATGTGTGGGCTTTTTTGTGGCACATTGATCTACTAGTGAACACCATTCCAAAGGCTGGTGGGTTAGTTGTGGTATGGGATGGAGTGGTAGAGGAGACGGACGAAAACGTACAAAATAATTAATTGAAGCATCTGACATTTTTTTAATTGGAGTTGGACAAAATAAAATTAAAAAGAAATTATTTTTTTAAAATTAAAAAAATTAAGAGATAAATAAATTAGAGTGGTAACAAATTTCTATATGATAGTGAGCTTGTAGTGGAGCTAATTGGAAATATTTCTTGAGGAGATTGAATATTGAATATAACAACTATCCATAGCCTTAAAAAGACTAATGGTTACCCTAGAAGAAAAAAGAGCCACCTTCAATGCTTAGTTGGACATTATTTTATTTCGATCAGGTTTGTTTCTACTATATATAAATTAGTTTCAACTTTAACTTTTATAATATTTCATATTCTTATTCTTAATTGGTGGTAATGTAGTATTATTAAAGACGAGCCCAATCTTATCTGGCGCTTATGAAAATTGAGGGAGCTATGCAACATACTCCATATTACATAATGGTACAAAGTAACTAAGACCATGGAAAATTTAAAAGAAACTAATTTGTTAGGATAATCATATTTTTTAGACAATTTTAACATTTGACCATCTTTTAAATGTATTATATATATATATATATATATATATATATATATATATATATATATATATATATATATATATATATATATATATATATATATATATATATATATATAAACACATTTATCAAGTTAAATGTTCAAATACATACAAAATAAGAAATTGCTTAAATGTAAACATTTTTTTTTTAATTTATTACAATTATTTTATGATATTTTTTTTCTTATAGGTTTTTTAACACAATGTTTTAAACATCACTTGCAATTTTTTTTTTTAACTTTTTATATACTTTCATATAATTTTCATACAACTACTTTTAAATCAAATATTTTCTAAATGTTTTTAATTTTTCTTACAAGTTTTTAAAATTTTCTCTACATTTGTATACAACTCTTTTATAACTTTCATACAATCATTTCTAAACTTTCTTTTACAAACCACTTGGGTTGTGGTATCTTGGTAAAACATGTGGAATATATGTTAGATAATCTATTGACTCATATTTAAATTCTGTCATTACTCATCCTCTGTGGCTATGGAGATTCACCTACAATAACTTCATTGCATGAGGCATAGTGTCATCTTCGTAGCGGGGGATTAGTTGGTACGTGAAACCCTCGTTAGGGCAGTTCCTTTCCAAAAGCAAAGAATAAATAAATAAACAAATAAACAAATAAATAAAAACTTTCATTTACAATATTTTAAAAAAGTATTTCATAGATTTTGTATACCAATTTAATGCATTTTACAACATTTTAAAATATTGTTGTTAAATTACAAGGTTAGAATGTTGTATTAAAAAAAAAATTAAAAAGTTTATAAACTTCTAATTAAAAAGTATAAAAAAGTTGTAATCGTTTTAAAACGTTTAATATATATATATATATATATATATATATATATATATATATATATATATATATATAATTTGTAAAGTAATATTTTCTTTTTATTTTTTAAAAGGCCATGCATATTATTTACTTTAAAAATATTGCATATGCTTAAAAATAAAAGAATATATATATATATATATATATATATATATATATATATATATATATATATATATAATTCATTGCATTTAAATAGTTATAAAAAAAATCCACACCTGTGATTGTTATATTAAAATAGAAATATAAAATTGCTTGCAAGCCTTGCAGATATAGATAGAACAAATCCAAGTGGCATTAAAAACTATCTTAGTGGCATTGCAAGTTCTTTTTAAAAAACCTGATGTGGGTGGTCTTAGAAAAATAATACAAACAAATATGAAAAATAAAATCTTTGTTAAAGATGGCGAAATTGACTCATAATGGTAATTAATTTTACGTTTTGTTCATATTTAAACAATTTTTTTGTATATATTTGATCATTTAACTTGTTTAATGTATTCACATGTTACTATTGTCACCTGCCATAACCGGTAACAATGTTAATATGTGAACATATTTAATAAGTTAAATAGTCAAACGTGCATAAAACAGATTACTATCATAAGTCATTTTCTCAAATTCTAATTACATAATCATTTTTTTCACAATGTATGAACATTAGATTGCTTATTGTCCAAAAAATGGCAATAAATGTACAAATTAAATATTATGATGTGTATAAGGTGTTGATTTGATCATTATACATTTATTGACACTACCGATCACTATTTTATCTTTATAAAACATGGAAATTTTCAAAGTTAACTATCAAACCAAGAAATATATCAAAATAATCTGACGGTATAGATATGTGATTTGATTTTTCTTGTTTGTTATTCAATGGTTTAAGTTTTTAGGAGAACCCTAATCTTTGTTCCTTTTATTTACATAATAATTCAATTTTATGTTGATAAGAAAATCCTTAAAGTATAATTCCACTCTTTTGAGTTAACATACAAATGGGATGATCTTTTTTGGTTGTTTTCGGTTTCTTTATATAATGGAGGCATAAGGGCACAAATTTCGAATCATAAATATAATCAAATTTTAATCCAAATGTACAAACGGTTATATGTTCGTGTTCTCCTCCCTAATACATTTGTTTTGATATATCGCATATACAAAACGGATTAAAGATGAGTGAGAAATTGTACGTCAAATAAAGTGTTTGGGAGAAATTAACAAATGGGTTAATTGGGTTTATTATTTTATCTTACATGGATGGGAGGACAAAAAGAAAATGACTTTATAACTATGAAGACTTCTTAGTCTTGTAAACTTCAAGGCACAAAGACTCTTACTTTTAATTAAGAAAAACTCTTCTCAATAGAAAAAGAGGAGCAATCGAATATATTTAACAAATTTGATTATCAAATCTATACAAAAGAAAAACAAACGTAAAAATAATTATTCTAATAAGTTAATTTTCCCACTATTTATGGCTCACTTTTATCTAATTATTTTTCCATCCAAAAAGCTATTGAATCCTTCAAAAATCTTTAAGCTCGAGAGATTAGAAAAGTTATACCAGTCAATTTTTTTCCTAATGGCAAACATTTATTTGAATCAGATAAATATAAGGTACACCCAATGCCATTGTTTCATCTTGTTTGTTCATGGGGTTCTTCGTTTACATGTGGATTTTCTAAAGAACATACAACAATGTATAGCCTAGTGCGATTGCAAATTAGTAATATGGTGGCACTGAAGAAGGTAATATTTTGCATGTTTCAAGCAAAAATAAGTTGTAGAAATATTCGATAGAGGCAAAACTCTGGTCACACTTACCAAAGCTCGACAAAATTTTTCTACAGCTACACATAACTTCATATAGCCATTAATATCCATGTTACAATCAATACAAATAAATCAAATAACTTAGTGAGGCAATACATCAAACACCTTATCGGCATAACAGAGCCCATCTTTCATTATCTTTCTAATAAATCCAATATATTAATAGATTCTGGCATATTTTGGCCAGTATCATATTGACATGCCAGGATTTGCATTCAATAGTACGATCTTGTGGGACCCACAAAGATGGCAAAACACACCTCACCTTCATTTCGTCAACTGGACACCATCAAAGAAAGATTCAAAGAATGCATCTTGTATTATCTTCTTAAATCAAGATTCATTTGAAAGTTTGTATACAAAACTTACTAAATTTATAAAACAATTGATAGAAGATAAGAGCCAAATGGAAGGTAACCGATTTGGATGTTTTAAAATATTGAATGACCCCAATCTTCATCACACTCTGCAGATGTCTCTGGAACTCCAGGTTTCTATCCTTCATCTACATGGCCTTAAATCACACTTTTCCTTGGGTTAATTTACATTTAAGTAGTCAAAGATCAACAATAATAACCGTTTCCCATTTGCTTTTTTCTTCAAAAGTATAGAATGGCTTGTAACAAAAAGAGAAAGAAAGAAAATGAGAAACCATGCACTTGAATTTTAGCCATAAGTTTCTAAAAAAGACGTAAGAAGATGGAGATTGAGTCGGAGTTGATGCCTTGTTTTTTCGTTCACCGGAGAATGTTGATGAAGGAGCCAATAGAGGCATCGAACTTGCTGGAGAAAGAGTCGGAGTAATTAATCGATCAATTCGCAGTCGGCGTTTCACAGTACGCGCCATGGCTAGTCTACTGGTGGAACACCCAACAATGATTCCCCGGCTCCAGCGTTATCGCTGGAAAACGTAAATTCTCAACTTCCAATTGGGATTTCATCTCCAAGCTTCGAAACGATTGATCACGAACCAATCGCAACAGGAAAGGTAAAAGTCGAAAACTGAGATAATGATTGTGAACAGGATTAAGTAAGGCAACAAGGACTAGCGGAATCGATTTTAGGGATATAAAGGTCGGATTTGGGAAATAAGAATTTGATCCGATGGAGATAAAGAATCCTTTCCCGGAGAACGACGACAATGTTCATTTGTGGCATGGAGATGAAGATGGGCTTGTGCCGGTGAGTTTGCATATATACATAGCGAAGAAGCTGCCATGGTGTTGGCCATTTGCTACCAAATTATGATGGTAAGAAAGAAGCCATTTTGAAGAAGTCAAGGGTAAATGTCTAGCCTATCAAGATTCATGATTTTGTTTAAAGGGTCTTTTTTTTTTTTTTTTTTTGGCATTGAAGGGGAACAAAATGTAGTTTTACCGGCTAAAGTAGTCCAATGACCTGTTATTACAGGTTTCTTAGCCTAGTCACACTCCAAGTCATGTAATGAGTTCATTCGGAGTTGACTCGCTCTACACGTCACCGATTTGATTCAAATCGGTTGCTTGGTCCCTAAGGGTCATTGTGCTCCCAGTATACATAAAAGGGAGGGTTTAATAAAGCAAACCCTAATACATTATACCCATTTTCGGCCAAACAATTACCGACAAGAAGGAGACAATCCCTTTCACGAGAATCACGAGATGGCTACCCCACCACCGTTACCAAATTCGATCTCGTTAAATTCTTGAGATCGGATGAACTTCAGTGACATACACACAATTTTTTGCGATTGTGGGGAGAGAGTAGCAGAAACACAGGTGGAGATGGATCGCATTAAGGAGGAAATGGGGTGCGGTTCTGTGATATCAAGGGTTGAAATGCTTGTCGTGCAACGCCGATTAGACCGTCAGAATAAGAAGATGCAAGCTATGACAATTGTATTGGTGGGACTGGTGGTGGTGACGCTTGGTTTTCTGGTGGACAATATGCACACTCTAATGTGATCGTGCTTCTGATGTGGTAGTTAAAACAAACAACAACAATTAGACTAAAATTAAAGGATATGGTAGTTAACATACCTTATGTTGATCTGACATCAAAGTAACACCAAAACCATTTTCCAATCCTAGATCATCCCTTAAATTCTCCATAAACCATTTCCAATTCTCCTTGTTTTCCACACAAACAATTGTCCATGTAATTGTAAATATGTTATTATCAGCATCCCTACCAACTGCACATATTAACTCTCCTGTACATTAGCCTTTCAAGAAACACCCATCCAGATTTATTACTCTTCTACAACTACCTCTCCATCCTTGCTTTAGTCCCTCAAAACATACGTACATGTTACTGAAATAAATCTTCCCATCAGGCATACCATTGACACCAATCTTCACAGTTGATCCAAGGTTTGATCTTCTTATCTCCTCTCCATAAGACCAAAGTTTTGCATAGTACTCAACAAGTGTTCCTTCAATAAGCTTAATGATATGTTTCTTTGCTCTTCTACATTGTCCCATAATCACATCTATTCCAAAAGTTTGTTTGACCTCTTCTTTAAGCATCCTAACACTCATTTTTTTTCTTATTTAAGAACTCAGATGTAAAATGACTACCTATCCAAGCATAGCTAACAATTGATCCCAATTTGAAATTTCTGGCACAATTGTGCTCATCTATGAGTGACTTAATCTGGAAAGATTGTTCTTCACTAATCCATGAGGCCCAAAGTCTAAACTTACACTGGCCAGAACAACATTTCACTAAAAGTCTCGTACTGTTATTTTTCTTGTAACACAACTGATACCCATTTGCCACAACATAATTACATAACATATGTTTTAATTGTTTTGGACTTTCAAATCTCATACCTAACACAGGTTTTTGTTTTTTCCAGATAACATTTTCATTATAGGTTGTCACTTCCTCAACATTTGTGTCATTGTCATCCATACGAAAATATGCCTCCTCATCAGGAGGACTTGATGGGATTGACTGCGCTTTGGGGCATAGCTTGCTCAAAAAACATCATTTATGGTCTTATTCATAGGAGCGGAATCAAGATCATCATGTACATTACCTTGCAAGTTATCAATCTCGTTCTGAAAAGGTCCTAGGCTATGCAAGTCCTCGTTATTCCCCCTACACCCGACATCATATCTTCAGTACTGCAAACTTTAGCTTCGTCGTCCAATATCCATTGATGGACATTAGAACCAAGATGATCCATGTAAACTTGGATTACATATCCGTTGTCGTACCCAACTTGAATGAACTCTTGGTAGTCTTTCTCGATGGCAATTATCCTCAATCCTTCAAGAAACTCTATATCTGGCATGTAAAAATACACATTCACACATTCCTCGTTCGCGAATCTTTGAATGAATAGTAGAAATTTTTTAACATCCATTCCTGTAAAAGCGACATCTTCAAAGCGTTGCTCGGCTCCATCTGAGTAACTTATTGCAGGATACCTAGTAAAAATGCCAGCAAAATGAAGATCTGTTTTCATATACACGGCCATGGTATCGATTAGGAGAGAAACGGTAGAAGAGGAAAGGGGAAGAAGATAGTGATGGGTGAATGACTTATTTACAAAAGGGTTAACTAGGTCAAAACCTCATTTATTGATGTGGCAATGAATCTTTCGACGTGTCAAAAATTAACATGAGATGTCTTAAAAAAAATGCTGAGTAGGATAGGGTTAACCGGCTTACCCCTTCTTTTTCTATAGAATGATTTGAAGAGTCGGTAAAACTACATTTTGTTCCCCTTAAATGCCAAAAAAAAAAAAAAATTAAACTAAATCATGAAACTTCATTAGGCTATAGTGACATTTACCCATTTTGTTTTGTATTTTTTTTTTTTTTCTAAACTTTAATCCAACAAAATTAACTTCCATTTAAGCATATTCCTGCGTAGATGTATATGTATGAGGGTATGAGGCTGCAGACATACCCTAGTTGTTTTTGGATTTTAATGTTTGATGGTTGAGATTTGTGAAATCGACATCAAACATGCATGTGATGTTTGAAACTTTGGATGGTATTTAATGAGTTTTCCTTTCCAGCTAGCCCATAGTATTGGGCTTGGTTAGGCAACTCTACTATATCATTTTCGGTCAAATCTTGCGGGCTCTAATTGACGATGATTAAAGTGCTTGGTATGAATTGTTTTATGGAATAGCTCGAATCTAATAAATGTGAAGTGTGATGCAACTTTTTATACATTCCATAACTCAAACGACCCTTAAAAATTTTGTAGTGGCTGAGTTGCAGAATTGTACACAAGTGCTTCACTTTCAAACTATAGCATGTCCAAAACATCGTTAGTGTTCCACTTTCATTTGCACATGATGCAACTTACCATTTTTGTAAAATTATGGGGTTTAACAATTAACATCAATGACAATGTATGTCCTAGTAGGCATGGCCCCAAAGGGGCAAAGACGTAATCACCTTCTAATCAATTGCTAGCTTGCATCTTGTAAGTGGTCTATGGTCTTCTCCTTTGCAATCTCGAGGGCTTGGAATTATCCTCAAAGGAACATTAATGGTATTCATCCTCCTCCATCTATGACAATTCTCTAATTAGTTAAGAGTCTTAAACCCTCGATGCGATATTTCATTCTTTTGCATGGCTTTTATGGAAAAGCAAAAATGCAAAAGTGTTTCATCAGAAACCAGAAGGTGACCGCTCTTTACTGAATTTTGAAGAGTCGAAGGCCTCATCTCTCGTTTCTATTAATTAAGCACATGAAAAAAAAAAAAAAAAAAAAAAAAAAAAAAAAAAACTAACTTAGTGACTTACACAAATTATACAACAAAAAAAAATTATACTTCAATATTTGGATAATCCATATACCCTAATTTTTCTAAAATTGATATCCAAAAGCTTTTAAAACAATTTGGATATCCATCAACATAGTTTATAAAAACCTTATTATTTATATATATAGTCAGTAAAATAAATTAAGAAAAGAAAATAGACTTATCGTCAAAATTGTAGTAAATAAAGTTTATTATCCATAATTATTTTTTTTATAGCTGATTGTCTAATACAAAAATTATAATTAAATCCAAACAGCAGACAATAAAACATAAATTATTTTTGGTATTTATTAAAACATTGAATGTAAAATATTATTATTACTACGTTAGGTCAAAAGTTGACTATTAAAAAACTTTGGCTCGAATAATGTTATTACATTTAATTTTTCAGTCCATTATTTGTCTGCGGAATGTTGCCCGCCGCCCGCAGTTAGTCGGGCACCTGACCGAATTGCCCAACGGTGGGACCAGACTCGAGAGTGGTCCACAGTCAAGTCAATAGCCAAATCATCACACTCAACGACCCAAAACGCCGTTAAATCATAAAACAAACATGGCGAAATCCTCGCCGACGATCTCTCACGCTTGCCAACATCCGATTCATAACATTATTACAAAGCGATACCGGCGTGCCCTTAGAAAAGATTTTGATGAAATTATTTAATTATTTAATTTAATTTAATGAATAGTAAATAAATAAAAGTTGACCCGCCGTTACAGACGATAACGGAAAAGATATTTTTTTTTTTCTTATTTTAGTTTACTCATGTTATTTTTAGGTAGATTGGAAAATGGGAAATAATTCAAGGAGCCCACGAACAAAACTTTTTATTGGAAGTGGTGTCCTTTTGTTGTTTTTTTTTTTTTTAAATTTCTCATGCATTGCATAGGAATAATATAATTTATTCTTAATGTATTTTTTAATATATATGTTTTCTTTCAGAATTTTAATTAACGGATACAGGAGACATGACGAAAAACTGGTTGGATGATGTGGATGATGTGTTGACTTGAATAATTATCTAAAAGTATCGGATAGTTTGCAACACTTTAATATGTTTATTTTAAAATAATT